TCTTGTCGATTCACATGAGATCCTATCACCTCGCCTGGCTATCCTTCGACTCCGTCCTCTGCATCAGAAATCCATTCCCATCATCAACTGCTACTCTCCAACATCAGCAGTTGATGACTCCGAGCTTAATGCTTTTTATGAGGATTTAGAGGAAGTCATCCGCAAAGACAACTCCTTCTATAAGTTCGTCGTGGGTGACTTCAATGCGAAAATCGGGATACCAGAAGAAGGGAAGCATGGGAACGGGAGATTTAGATCAGGACTCCGAAATGAGAATAGCAACCGTCTTGTTGGGCTCTTATCCGTCGCACGACTTTTTCATGGCAACCCCATTTTCATGAAGAAAGAACAGCGGCGGTGGGCATGGGAGTCACCCAACGGTACGACTCATGCAGAGATCGGCCACATTCTCACCAACCGAAAGTGGTGCTCACTGGACGTCTTAGTGGTACCATCCTTCAGTAGTGGCTCAGATCACCGCCTCCTTCGAGCAAAAGTGCGATTAAACCGAAAGCTGGAAAAGAAGATCTGCCACCATGTTGGAGGGAGGAGAGAAGTCGTATATGACGGCATCAGATTGGAGGAGCTCCTGACCACTTGTGACTGGCCCATCGAGGAGGACCCTACGAAAAACTACGATTGCTTCTTAGAGGACTGAGACCCTGTAGTTGAAGCGCCTCAATACCTCGCACAAGGAACTTGGAACGAATTTCGAAAACCACCAAGGATCTGCTAGAGAGGAGAAGAGCACTGAGGCTGGATCCGACTGCAACACGTCTCGAGCGACTGGTAGCCAATACCAATTGCAAATCAGCTTTGCAAGAAGATCTTCGAAAGTACAGGCAATCAAAACTCCTGGAAGCAGCACAAGGAAGGAGAAGTCTAAAGAAGTACCGCAGGGACCTTCTTGACTCTCGTGTTCCGCTGACAACATTACTAAACAAAGACGGGACTCGTACATCTTCGGACCAAAGATGGAATGGATCAGAAGAGATTCTACACCAATCTCTTTTGCTCGTCAACACCCGTGTCAAACCCGTTATTCCCACTGAAGAATACCACCAAGAATTCTACCTGCTGAAGTATGCACCGCAATTCAGACCATGAAGGCAGCCACGGTCCGGGACCGGGCCATGTTTCGGTCGACCTCTTACGAGCTGGAAGACATCCCTAGACGAGATACTTGCGGAACATCTAACGTCCTACCTTCAAAAGGAAAGGATTCCCGACCAGTGGAGAACCTTTCGAACAATCCTTCTTCATAAGAGGGGTGATAGGGAGGATCTTCGGAACTGCCGTCCAATATGCCTGCTGAGCGTGCTTTACAAGCTCTTTACGAAGATTATTCTTGATCGTATATCAAGGACACTGGATGAAGCCCAATCTGTAGAACAAGCTGGATTTCGCCAGAGATTCAGCTGCGTGGATCACATCTAGACAGTTTTGAGGATTATCGAGATTTGCCGAGAGTACTGCCTACCTCTCGTTCTAACCTTCCTTGACTATGAGAAAGCATTTGACAGCGTCAAGACTAATGCCAGACTGTCATCGTTCGTCGACCAAGGGGTGGACCCATCTTACGTGAGGACGCTGGCGACTGCTACAGGAATTGCTCTACAACGTTACACTTTTCTATCGTCCTCTTAACATATCAATGTCGAAGAGGGTTCGACAAAGCGATACCGTGTCGCCAAAGCTGTTTACCGCCGCGTTGCAGTGGGTGATGAAATGGGAGACGGCTCTTCTGAACCGCTCTAGCGTCCCGCCCACTCTTTCCTCACCTTTGATTGGTCGTGCTGGGAATACACATAGGGTTTTTCAACGCTTCGCCGCAATCCCCTATGGCAAGTCGACAAGCAAGCACGTCCTGAAGGAACCCGGCGTCGATTACTGCTTCCATTACTTGAGATCTTGACGAGGCCAAGATTAAGTGACTGAACTGAGGAAAATTTTGAATGTGAGAGTGATGACGATAAGGGGAGTAAGGTGTAGCACCCTAACAAAGATTTAATCTGAATTATCCTGTAGAATGCTATATTTGAATACTCTGTGTGAATTTCTTCCATTGCTCTTGGCTTCTGTTTTATGAAATCAAAAGCGTTTTTGAGAGCAGTGATGAGCGGACTAGAACTTCGCATTGCCGAGATAATACATCTCTCTAGACTTGTCTAACTAATTATTTGCTTCAAGGGAAGAGCCGGGACCTCCTACTAGGTCGCCGCTAGTCTTGCGCTGATTGGTCGCTGAGTGGGGGCGGGGCAACTGAGCGGTTCAGAAGGGCCTACACCCTGATGAAATCACTGGATTGGAACGAGAGGTATATGAGCTGTTGAGAGATTTCTCTCGAACCTTCGTTTTGTGGACGACATTGTTCTCTTCTCGAAAAAGTATCATTGAAGCGGAGATGATGTTAAAGGAACTTAACGTAGGAAGCAGATATGACTGCGAAGCAACCGAAACAAGACTCAGTTCATGAAGAAAGCTTTTTGCGAGGATCAAGAAATGGAATTAAAAGGCTCTCCAATCGCGGAAACGTCTTCTTACGTATATCTCGGGCGTTCAATGAATATGGAAAACGATCTGAAAGAAGAACTAAACAGGAGGCAAAGAGCAGCTTGGGCCGCCTTTCGGCCCCTAAAGGAAGCCACAGACTAGCTGACGGACCCGGAGCTCCGAGCCCACCTGTTTGATTCAACTGTTCTATCTGCGCTCTGCTACTCAGCAGAGACGTGGCCTGACACTGTGGCTACGTCAAAGGCTCTTCGAACAACTCACGTAGCGCTGGAACGACGTCTTCTAAAGTACAACCGACGCACTCAACATCTCTCGGACTTTGCAATTCAGATATGAGATCAATGTCTCTTCTACGCGATTTAGCGGAATACGTCTCGAAGCCGGAGCATCGATGGGCTGGTCATATAATGAGAAGGACAGACGACAGATGAACACTAAAAACTCCGAATTGGATTCCTCGCGAAACGAAACGTTTTCGAGGGAGGCCACCGACCAGATGGGCTAATGTGTTCGTTGCACGGATGGATCAGCTGAGTAACGCGTAATGGACGTGGACCTCGCGAACGTCGCCGCTGCACTTCAATATTAGCATTGGGGATGACGCTAGCGAGAGATAGAAACGGATGGAAACAGTGCTGTGGCCTGCACGACAAGTGAAGACAGGC